TTTTTTTTAGTAAAGAAGTCGTTGGCTTAAGCCAACGGCCACGGTTTTTCTTACCCCTACGCTGTGCTGGCACCTCCCCCCCTTGCCTTTCGATTTGCAGACCCAGGTTCGATTCCCGTCGGGAATTGAAAAAAATATTTAAGCCATTTCTCGATTTATGCGTGTCATCCTTGCGCAGGGGCCATGCTATGGTCACACGACTGTTTTCAGCCATGAGATCTGTCGATCTCGCAGCCGAAAAATGGCCGCGCTTCATGCTTTCAAAAACGGGCTGCTCCGAAAAAGGAGCTAGCCCAGGCAGTGTGTCGTCAGGCTCGATCCCAGCGTCTGATGGGTGATAGCTTCATGTTGTAACCTACTGGGCTAGCTCCTATTCACGGAAGCTAGATCCGGAACTCTTCTATTTGAAGAGCTGCTGCCCAGTAGGTCACCCAACCTCAGGACTGGGCAGCCCCAAACTGCCTCGCCTTGGCAAACGGTCGTTGCCCCACCATCTAACCGGCTGGGGCTTAGCCCGGTGGGCCCGATAAGCCACCACTACTCAGGCTCTGAATCGCGCGGCTGTCATCATTTTAAGTAGGATAGGAGTTAGACTTAGTATTCCAACGCCAGTACGCCCCTCCGTACTCGCCAGGCGTGGTTGGTGACCGACCGCACCGCCGCTATAGCATGCCGCATGCATTTGGACTTGAGCAAAAATTTAGTTTCTTAGTCGTAGGTTTGGTCTGAATAAACGTTTGGCAACGTCAATCTCATCAAGTCCTTCAATTCAGCGAAAGAGTCGGACAGCGTCCGACGTTTAAAATCCGGGGCAAATACCCTTGTCAGGGTATTTGCCCCGACAACGGAATAGAGAGACACAGCTCCGCTGTAGACTCAACACTCCAAAAAATGTGCGATTGAAGAATGAGCCCAAAGTGCAGACTGCAGCTGGGGTATACCCCCAGAGGTCTGTCTGGACTGGACTGGACCGGACTGAATATCCACATGGCTGTTATGACTCAGCCAGGGTTCGATCCCTCGTCCGCGGGTTCTTAATATGTCAGCATGATCCATGGGGACTATTCCACATTTTGCCGTGGGTATAAAGTCTCCTTTCAAAAATCCCTCTTCTCGCAGTGTACTTAACAGTTTCCTACCTACCCGCCAGCCTACTATTTTATTTTTTTGTTTTCTTGTTTTTATTTTTTTCTGCTCTCCAGTTCTGACTGTTGGCGCCCTCTGCAGTTGGCGTCTGTTCTCAAATTCCTCCAACACTTTGTGCCATCCGGCATTCTGGCGCCCAGACTCAGACCTTCGATTTTCAGTTCAGCCCTGAGGCAAATTGCACCTCTGCCATGGGACTGAACTTGAGTCCAGTACTTAAGACTGGACTTAAGCCCAGTACGAGCATTCAGTTTTCGGCCTCAGTGCTTGTGCTTCAGTGTGACTTGCTGCGACATTGTGTTCGGAATCCAAGATTGTGACTTTGCGACTTTGCCTCTTCGTGTCCGCGTCCGTCTCGTAGAGTCGAGTCCGTGTCGAGTTGAGTGAGTATGTGTGTGTGCCCTCACTCTCTCCCTCTCTCTCCCTTGACCTCGCTACTCTGCCTCCGCCTCGTCACACTGGTATCGGAGCAGCGAACGATCGCCCTCCCTCGCTCCCTGTTCAAGGTGGAGCAACCAGCGCTCCAACGCCATCGCCGTCACCACCGTCGTCTTCAATGCCACCACGTCATCGCCATCGTCGTTGTCTTCGTCGTCGTCATCGCTGCCACGTCAGCTTCTTGTACCTGTCATTGTTGCTATTGCCATTGCCACGTCAGCAACTCCTCATCCTGGTCGTTGCTGCCACGTCATCGATCCCGAAGCCGACGTGCAGGTAAGTGACCGATAAATTTATTTTTTTCCTTTTTTTTTTCCTTTCTTCTCCTTTTCTCCTTGTTTCTTTCTCACCTCCTCGTCATCGTCGTCGTCGTTTTTCCTTTTCTTCTTCTTCCTCTTCTTCTTCTTCATCGTTCTCATTCTTCCCCCCCTCTTCTCCTCTCCTTCCTCCTCCTCCCTTCGTCTTCGCCACCCTCATCATCGTGCGTTATCTCCCCCGCCCCCCCCGCCGCGCGCTATCTCCCCCCGTCCCACGTCGTCCCCATTCCCCCACGGCGCGCTATCTCCCACCCGCGCGATCCTTCTCCGACGCTATCCCCCCGTCGCTCCCCTTCTTCCCCCGCACTTCCCGCGCTAGCCCCCCCGCTCCCGCTCCCGATCTCGTCCTCGTCCCCCGATCCCAACCCCGTTCCCCCAAGCCGATGCGTTCCGTCCTGATCCCGAATCTGAGCTTCCCAGCTCCCGGCCACCTTCCCATTCCCCGACCCCGATCTCCCTCCCCTTTCCAATCCCACCGCTCGTTTCCCCCCTGCGCAGTTCCTACCCCACCCCCCATACCTATCACCCTATCCTCGCACTACTAGGCTATCACCCAATCAACCACATAGATAGGATCGCTCCTCCCCCGATTTATTTATTTATTTATTTTTTCAAAATTCTTTTGAAAATTTTGTAATCAAAATTTTTATTCTCCTTAATTCTAACACAAATAATACTAATTCAGCACTAATTAAATTTCTTTAATTTTTCAATCTTTCGTTAAATTCCTCCCCTTTAGCATTTGCAAGGAATATGAGCAAGAGCGATATACTGAAAACCAAGTTGCGAAATCACACAGATGTCCAAGTAGTCATGTACAAGCAGGGAGCGCAAATGCACTGAGATTCCATCCATATAAGAGCAATACAATAACTCACGAGCGAATGTCCAATCCCTCAGGGCACACCAACACCATATCCAATGTTGCTCCTACTCTGTCTGGCGGCCGGCGTCCAGCCTGCACTACTCGCCTATCCTACTACACCAGCGTTCATGCAACAGGGTCACTTCGACTTTGAAGACCAAGGTACATGACGTCAACACCATAGCTGACCTCCCTCGTGCACCAGGTATGTATCTCGTCTCTCCCCTCATCACCCCTGACTTCCCACAGTGTGCATTCTCAACACCCAAAGGCCACCATCGCCATCCAGACCAGCGCCCACCAGCCCGGCTATGGCTGCCGTGCGCCCACTGCCCAGCAGTGCACCTCACACCTCAGCCCCCGTGCGCGCGACCCAGCCGGCAGCTTCGTGTAAAACACGAAGTTGCAACGCAGCAGTGTGGCTGCATTGCCTGCCTAGGCCAGAATGATCTGCCCAGCGATGCTCACTTTCCTATATGGAAAGTGAGCTCAGCCTCTGCTGCCTCTGGGCCTGGTTGGGCGAGCATCCAGTAGCTTCCAGTCGGGCCTCAATGCCTGCGCCCAGGCCCAGTTGCAGTTACGGGCCTGGGCCCTTTACAGTTGGGCACGTCCAGGCAGTCCACGGGCGTCCACATGTTCGCTGTGATCTCATTGGCTCACGGCCACTACGTGGCGACAATGCTGCAATCTCATTGGTCTGTGGCTGTTGTATGATGTGTCGGCCTCTGAAAGCACACGCCCAGGGCCTTAACTGTATGAGGCCCTCGCTCAACTGCCCGTCGAGGCTGCAACTTCTGGAAAGAGCCTAGAGAGGCTCACGTTGCTCTGTAACCAACTGGCGTGCTGCAACTGTCTGATACCCACATATTGAAGAATGTCAAATCTTGGCCTCTTGCGAGTATTCAGGCCCGCCTTCACTTATGATGGGCACAGGGCTAGCTGAGGGTCTCTGCCCAGAACATGTGCATTTCTGTTAAGGGCCCCGCGAGGGCTCATTCCCCCGCACATATACGGCCCCTTCAGGGGGATCACACTGGCCTGTACCCAGGCCTTGGCACATATTGGCAGGCCCGGCTTCACTAAGGGCGGGCAATGCCTTTCCCAGCACTGACGAGAGGTCAATTCCTTGCACATTCATCAATTATTAATTCGGAAATAATTTGGAATAAAAGAATTAATTAATTCCATATTAGTTTAATTCATGGCTACGCCGGACCCGGACCCGGACATTTCCGGACATGGAACCGGACCCGTGTCCGGTAGTTTCCGGACGTCCGAAAAAATAAAAAATAAAAAAATCTGAAAAAAAAGTATGTTATGCAGAATAACAATGCAAACCACTTTTGCCTCAGAGTCATGTCAGAATTCCTAACCAAACTTGAGTTAAAAGTCAAAAACTATAAAAAGCTTAAAAAAAGACTTTAAAAACTAATAGAAGGTAATGAATTATTAATAATTAAAAATTTGGGGTTGTCTAATAAATTACTATAGAGAGAGAACATGTCCGGACCCCCCCAAAAAGCATAAACGGGCCTGAAAAAACCCCAAAACAATTTTGGGGGCTTGGCTCCTCCATGGGGAAGGGTCCTGGACCGTTTTTTTTTTTTTTTTTTTTCCTCGAAATTTGCCAGATCCGGACCTTCCAGACCGGACGTCTGGATTCCGGACTGAATCCAGACCGTCCGGACGGCGGTTCGCACGTCCGGATTGTAGCCATGGTTTAATTCCCAAATATTTTGAAAATAATTATTTTTTTTCTCATACTTCATTTTTTTGAAATTAAGTTTAATTAACTATTCCTTTTCGACATTTTTCAGCATTTATTTCATTTGAAAGTTCCTGAAATTTTCGTTTTTTTTTTTTTTCCCCTTCGGGATCTTTTTCAAATTTTTAATTTCGAGTAAATCTGGGCTACCAGCCGGGCCGCCCGGCTCACCTTATTTTCTCGGGCGGCCCGGCCGTGCAAGGACTAGGGAATTCCAAGCCAACAAAAAAAAAAAAAAAAAAAAAAAAACTTCGAAAAAAAACTATGTTATGTGGATAAATAAACTGAACAACTTTTGCCTCAGGGTCACATCGAAATTCCTTACCAAATTAAAAAAAAAATAATAATAAAAAAAAAAATTAAGAAATATTTTTTATTTTTATTTTTTTATTTCTTTTTGACCCGGCCGGGGAAGTCGACCCGGGCCACTCTGGTAGCCTAAGAATAAATCCAATAATCCGAGTTGGAATCAATTTATTGAATTTTATTCAGAATTAATTCCCGCTCTTCAAAACTTTTGGGGAATCGTGGTAATTATCCTTATACATTTCTGCATAAATGTTGTCTTACTCTTGTAAATAAGAACCCCCCTCCCCCCCTCTCCGTCCCCAAAATCTCTGCATGACACACCAAAGCAAGAACTCTCAGCGAGCAGCCGCTGACGCCGCCGCTGCTGCGGCTACCGCTGCTGCAGCTGCCTCTATCTCATCCGCTGCTGCCACCTCATCTGCCACTCCCGCCGCTTCCTCCCCCACCATGACCCAATCATCCAGCATTGATATGTCTGCCATCTGCACCGACTCCATCGACCGCATCGCTCGCGACCTCGCAGGAGAACAACCAAGAGCATCCAATGCCGCCCCCGATTTTGCGACACTCCTCCGTATGATGACATCCATCCACTCATCTATCATCGACATCAGAGCCTTCGCCTCCACCACCTCCGGTCGCGTGACCGCCATCGGAGATAGCACCCCCGCCATCACGGTCGCCACAACCACCCCACCCCCTACTACAACCACACCAACGACCTCCACTACCCTGCGGACAACATCCACACCTCCTCCACCTACCTCCTCGTCCACTCACACCTCCCCCCTGGCCAACACCTCGTCCGCATCCCCTTTCACCTCTAGTACAACCATCCCGCGCCCCCCCTCACCAAGAACGACTACCAGATACCACCGTTGCCCAACAACCGAAAACACTCGCCACCCCCGTCACCTCTTCCCCCCCCACCTATACATAGATCACCCCCACAGCCCAACCCCTCCGCCCAACCGTTCCGATACTTCCCCCGTCGTCACTCCTCCCAACCAACCCCACCACCGATTTCACTCGAGTACTGTCCACCTCACCCAAACTTGACTTCAACACCCCTAACGGGTAACATTCCCCCATCCTTCCAATCAACCGACATTCCCCCCTTCACCGGCCTTCCCCACAAGGATGTTTTCGTCTTCCTCAACAAACTCTACGACGCCTTCTCCCGCCACAACGTCCCTGTTACACACTGGCTTCCTATTGCCAGCACCAGGATGCAGGAAGGCGCAGCTTGTTGGTGGTACATCGAATGAGCTAACCGCCAACAAGTGAACGAGGAACCCCATTCCGTCCTCGAGTGGGCCAACCTCATCACCTGCACATTCCGACCTCATAAGACGGGCGATGACTACTTTGAGCAACTTTGTCGCCTTTGATAGAACGGCCCGACCAATACGTTCGTGCACTGCGGCAAAACATCCCCCTTGACCACGTTTGCGATGCCGCATTCATCTCCCGCTTCAAGCGGGGATGCCGCAAGGACCTCGCCGCCGCCCTCGTCCACGACCCCCAATGTCCCGCCCCGATTTCCTCAACCGTTCCATTCACCTAGACAAACTCCTCACCCCGTACATGGACGCACTCACCTCCCCACCTCGCCCACGATTTTTTCACAACATCACCGACAAAATCTCTCTCTCCGCCTCCTCGTACGAGTTCTTTGCCCCCGACACTGACACCCTCTTCGACGCACTAGACACCACATCACTCTCCCCCAACGAACTCTCCGCCGTCCACCTCATGCAGATGGAAAGGAGAGAATGCACTAGTCGTCCTCCTACAAACACCTACCCAGCCCGTCTCAAGAAACTCTTGCCGGAGGAACGAACCTACCTCCAAGAAAAGGGCGGTTGTTTCCGGTGCCCACAGTTAGGACATCAACAGACAAACTGTCCAAATGCCGGACAGTTCATATGTCAGGCACCCAAGTCTGTGGCTCCCCGACCCGCCACTTCCGCAATTCCACCATCTGCCCCTTTCGGTCCTTCCTTCACTTGAACATTGTCCCCAGGATCACCACGAACCTGTCCCGACATTGACGACTAGTCTACCGGCCATCTCATCGGTGAAGACCTCTGTTCCACCAATGGCCCAGTTGGCAACAACAATACGTTTGCCTCCCCCCTCTCCGGTGACGCACAACCCACCGAACGATCCCCAGGCATCGCAACTCACGATGCCTGACGCGCCTCCCACTGGTACATGTTCCTCTACCCACTTTGTCACCGACGCATGTGTCCGAAAAGCCAGTCTCACTTCTACCGGTTACGACTCCCCGATTACCATTTGTTTAGGGGACAAAGACACCGCCGTTGTAGTAGACCGCACGGTCCCCGAGACCAAGTTAATAAGAAAACAAATCATACCTTTCTCTTTTTTAGAAAAATACTATGATTCCGTTATTTTCAAAAAAAAAAATGATTATTTTCATTTCATTCTAATTGTTCTTTTTTTATTGATTCAATAGAATGAAACTTTGTACTTTAGCTCAATGTTATTATAAAAAATCAATTTACTCAATCAATACTACTAATATAACCATGACTGTCGGAACCCTCCGCAGTCAGGTCTCATTCGATGTCATGCACTTGATGTGCGATATCGTCTTAGGAACACGTTGGCTGGACCGCTACATGCCATACGCGTTCCACCCCAACTTCTTTCGCCTCACCAACCCCTCTGACACACCCATCGACATCCCCTATTTCCCCCACCCTACCTCTCAAAACACCGTCACCCCTCACCAATTCCTCCACATGGCCCGCGAAAACCCCGACTCCACCTACTATTGCCTTGTCCTTGGCCACAAACATCCTGAGGACTTGCTCCCAACGGACAAACTTGATCAAGCCTCGCCTCCGACCCCGCCATCACCTCCATCCTCGACGAGTTTAAGGATGTTTTTCCCGAGTCCTTGCCAGCTGGATTACGCCCGGATCGTGGTGTATCTTATACCATTGATCTGGAACCCGACCACTCTCCGCTGTGCCGCCCTCCATACCAACTCCGAGTCTCGGAAACCAAAGAAATGAAGCGGCAACTCAATGAACTCCTTGAAAAAGGATTCATTAAACCACCACTACATGCAAGCCTGTTTTTGCGGACCCTGAATTTCCCTGCGCATTGAGTTTTGCCAAGGCTGGGTCCCATTGTATTCTCTTTTTTGGTACCCGTCGGAAAAAAAAAAAAAAAAAAGGAAAGGAAAAAGGAAAAGACGTACACAGAACATTGGGTACACGTAAGAGTCTGCCAAAGGGCGTTTCTACCCTCAGCAAAACACGAAAATAGGAAAAAAAAAAAAGGAAAAAATGCAACAACTCTTTCGACGTGAAAGCAGCTGGATATAAAACATTGGGCACAAATGAGAATATGCCCTACCAACGGGCGTTACAGCCCTCAACACACACGGTTATACAAGAAACTAAAAAAACAAAAACAACAATGACTCTTTGGACGTAAAAGCAGCTAGATACAAAATCTTGAGTACATGTGAGAGTGCCCTATTGGTTGGAACTGACAATTATCCATGGAAAACGCTGCCTCGTGGGCAAGGCACAAAAACTAAGAAGTAAAAAACTAAAAAACACAAAAAACAAAAATGAAACTATCGATGATTCTGGGCAGATACATTGTGGGAGCAACTGCTATGAGCGCACATCCTTCGTGGCTTTCCCCGTCGTCCTTCCTTTCAACTCTGCAGTTTCTTTTTTTTTCCTTTTCTTTGTTTTTTTTTCCTTCGATCGGGCGCACAAGGCCCAAATGTTTTGTTTTTGCCAACCCTCGCCCGGACCCGCAAACTTTGCGCTTGACGTCATTTTCCCGAATGGTACTATAGCTTGGAAAGGTAGTGGTGGTTTAAGCCAAGCTCCTCCCCCTTCGGAACAAGCTGCCTTTTCGTAAAGAAAGGACGAACCTCATAACTAAGGATGTGCACACACTACCGCGCCTTGAACCGAATCAGGATCAAGAACAAGTACCCCCTACCTCAGATCTTCGAGCTTCTTGATCGCCTCCGTAGAGCCAAGTATTTTACCAAGATTGACCTCCGCATTGGCTTCCATCAGATCCGCATCCGCGAGGAGGTCACCCACAAGACCGCATTCCGCTCTCGCTTCGGGCACTACGAGTTCCTCGTGATGCCCTTCGAACTCACCAACGCCCCTGCCACATTCCAATCCACCATGAATCACATCTTCTGCGACCTCCTCGAAGTCTGTGTCGTCGTATACCTTGATGACATCCTCAGCTATAGCCCCACCTTCGAGTCCCACCTTCAGTACCTCCACCAAGTCTGCTCTATCCTCAAAGAGCAAACATATACGCCAAGCTCAACAAATGCACCTTTGCTGCCTCAAGTGTAGAATACCTTGGCCACATCGTCTCTGCTGAAGGTATCCGCATGGACCCCTCGAAGGTCGCCTCCCACATCGAATACCCCCCCCCGTCCAAGACCCTACTCTAACTTCGCTCATTCCTCGGCCTTGCCAACTATTATCGCCCCTTAATCTGAAACTTCTCCGACACCTCATACCCGCTCCACGAACTCACACGAAAGGGCGAGCCCTTCAACTGGAACGACCGCCGCCAACACGCTTTCGACCTACTTAAGCAAACCATCACCACGGTCCCCATCCTCAAGATCGCCGACCCCTCTCGACATTTTTACGTTACCACTGACGCATCCGACTTCGCAAGTGGAGTCGTCCTATCGCAACATTTCCCTCGCGACACCTTCGAAACCCCCTCCATCAAAGACTTCCCCACCCACCCTGAGGCTCCATCCGACGAGTACCCCATGGCCTTCACTAGCAGGAAGCTCCTTCCCGCGGAGATGAACTCCCCCTCCAACAGGAAGGAACTCCTCGCCATGATCCACGCCCTCCAAGTCTGGCGCCCATACCTCAACGGGCAATACTTTACCATTCGTACTAACAACACCATAGTCTTGTCCATTCTCACTAAGAAAGACATCACGGCCCGCCAAGCACGATGGCTAGACTTTCTTGCCCAGTTCACATTCACCATTTGCCATACTCCCGGCTAAAGCAACCGCGCCGGCGATGCCTTCTTTCAACGCCCCGACCACAAGCCCCCTGAGAAAGTCTACGCCTCCATGACCCATATCAAGCTTCTCCCGTCGCTCCATCATCGATGTAATACAAGGATACCTGGCTTGCCCCGACTTCTCCACCATCTACAACAAGCTTAGTGACCTCGACCCTGTCCCCAACTACTCCCTCCACGAGAACCTTCTCTACATCGACACCAAAGGCACTCGCCGACTTTGCATCCCCGGCTCACGTGGCATCCGTACCGAGTTTTTCGCCGAGCACCATGACGCCAAGACTGCGGGACATCTCAGGTTCCAGAAAACCTTTGACACCATCCTCAGCTACTTCTACTGGCCTTCCCTACTCGCCGACGTCAAAGCTTACGTTCACTCATGCCCCACATGTCAAGCCGTCAACCATTCGAATCGGGCCAAACCCGGCAGGTTAAAGTCATTGCCTATTCCCACCCACTGGTGGCAGTCCATCTCTATGGACTTCGTGTGCGGTCTCCCCAAGACTGACCGCGGCCATGACTGCATCTATATCATCGTCTGTCGCTTGACTAAACGCGCGCACTTCATCTCTTGCACTTCTTCGCACAGCGCCAAAGACGTCGCCAATATCATCAGTGACCGTGTCTCCCACAATTCTGGAAATACCTTTTCACAACCTACGGAACCACGCTCAAGTATAGCACTGCATTCCACCCTCAGACCGATGGACAAACCGAGAA